AGCCAGCTCTTTTTTCTTTATCTGTCATTGTTCTGTTCTTCACATTATATGCTTTACTCAGGCTTGCTTCTCTGTTCTGTCAGATTGATGTTAAGAGAGCATTTTCAGTAGTGTAATGTGCTTATGATTGTGGATGGTTAGAAATTGTGCCCAAAGAGCAAAGCAAATTTGAATGTAGGTCCGACACTATGACGAGAGCTTGGGGGTACACATAAACACACTGAGACACACACACACACACACACACACACACAAGATAAATTAAAGAGATCTTGCAGGCTGTGTATGTGTAGTTGAATGGAAAGGAAATAAAACCTTAAAGAAGATTAGTTGGTTAGGTCACCAATGAGGGGTTGTTTCTTCAAGCACAGGCACTTTTGACTCTCTCGACATTCAGAATATAAACTCTCTTGAAACACACTTTTCACAATCCCGCTAGTTGGTCACTAATATTGTCCAACAATGGACATATGTGCATCAGAGGAAGATTTTTATTAATTATTTTCCCCCCTTTGAAGTAACATGAATATTTCAACCACAATGCTATTTCCACCACATCTCAAATTATATACATGTATTATGTTTAATAACCTTCTGTGGTGGCAATACACTGTGCTGTAAAAGACATTTAATATTTTACAATACATTACATCAACAACAACAACAACAACAACAAAAGCATTTGCACAGAATTACAATTTCAGCTTATCTAACTTAAATGGCCATGCTTTTCGTGCCCTAGAGATTAAAATACTACTTATGTCCAACAAACCTTCAATTTAACGGTCTATTTAGTGCTTCGGGAAATCCAGGTACTATCATATTACATTCCATTTTGACAGGGTTAAAAACACTGCTCGAGTATTATCGGCCTCAGTGGATGCTTCCTAATGTTTGATTTGTTCTCTGTTTTCAGTCTCTCATCAGTTTAATAATGACTTCACATTCATTGACACAGACTAATGCTCTGCCAGCCAAAGATGTCAGTTTAACCTGAGCTGATATATTAAATACTGTAACCAACAGGTAAGGGCTAAAACCAGCCAAGATCCCATTAGGGATGTCCCGGGTCATTCTTAAACGTAAAGCTGACTCATAAATAATCATGATTCATGAAGAAAAAAAAAAGTTTTAAAAGTAGATTTAGAAGTAAATCTACTAACCACAAACCCCCAAATACTAATCCCTAACTCTATTCTTAACCCTGACCTTAACCTTAGTGTAGTACTGGTGCATTCGTAACTTGATAACAGCATTACTGTCCAGCCATGATGTTCTTTTTGCAGTATGAACTTTTCTGGATTGGAGACTGAGTGATTGAATTGATTGAATTGGTTGCAGGGGCAGTGTTCATGCTTTTCACTTGCATTTATAATTAGCTGTATATAAAAACCATTTGTCAACATTTAGATAAGTAAACACTGGTGTGCAATATTCATATTCAGACTATATAAAATGCCTGTGGTCAAACAACACAACAAATTTCACTCTACTGGGAAAATAAATGTGTTCTAATAACAGGTTAAAGAATATCCTTGGGCCGCAATGAGATTTATCGGTACAATAAAAGTGTAGTAGCATCATAATTTCTCTCACAAGTCTCAGCATCTTGACATAAAAGTAGTTTTCATAACATGTTACATACTGGTATGCAGCAAAATGTATAAAGTTGATTCAGTTAGCTCAGTTATGGCTTACTCTTTTTGTCTTTGTGTATGCAAGTCAATTGGTGCATTGCATGTTCCTAAAGTTTTGTTTGTGTATAGATGAATCTTACTGTGCCCTCACTATGGAAGGGTTGACATCTTCTCAGCATATGCCTCATTACCATCCCACATGTCCTGTCTGCCCTTGACACACACAAACACAGACTCACACACACATGGGTGCTGGAGGCCGTGCACTCTATCTGTTTTGTGCCTCTGCTAGATACACTGGGGAGTTGAACACACTGTTCATTCCCTCCAAAAATCTTTTCAATCTTCTAAAATATGCAGACAGACACAGGCAGACTTTGAAAATGCAGTCATATCTTGCCCTCTCTTCCTTGAAGAAGAAGCAAGCTACTGTGCAAAGTCGAGGAGGCCAAATATAGCACCTGGTGTTTTCAATGCTTGCCAGATTCGGGCTTGGATCTGCAAGTATGATCTTCCAAGCCTATCCATGGGTGTTCTACGTTCCACTGCGGCTGTATTTAGAGTGTGGTTGGGTTCAGAGTTCCCCATTCAGAAATCTACCCCCAATGAAAGGGTTGAGGTTTAACCCAAAGCAGGGAGACATAGGCTGAATGGTGATGAAAAGGACAGAAGGGTGGAGTGTGGGTTACAGTATAGGGTTGTCCAAAATGATTATACTATATGGCACTCCTTCCCATTTGAAACAGGCTCATTTGGTGTATTTTTAGTGCTTAAACTAGCACAAATTTTGCCTTGAGACATCTTTTTGGTTAACTGATAAATGCATTCTGTTTTGAAAATTGTTTTATGCCAGAGAGCACAAAACGCTGTAATGAGTATATGACAATAATGGTGGTTTCTTTGGTTGGCGATTAAAGAAAATGAAATCCTACTAAGGGTTTTTCACACTACATTTACCCAGTGGTGATGTTAAATGTTTCATTGGATGTTTCCACAGGGTAAAGTGCCAATAAACACTGTTTATTTTACCGATACACCACTGGGAACTGTTAAAAGACACCAGGCACATTCCATTTCATATTATACAAACTCAGAACATCAGTCAGTGTATTAGTACTGAGAATTTTTCATCGACTTTTTCTGCATATTACATTGTTATGCCAGTAGGTGGTGACATCTTTATATGTGAGTCATTGAATTATACATTTAATTGATTGCAACAGCACAGATTCATTATGGTCCTATGATTTCTGTGATGTGGTCAGAATTGCGGAATCCAGTTATAAAAATGGAATTTATGGTATAACGTGAAATGTCACCAAATCTGGCCAAATTTGGATGAAAAAATCGAAAGTACGGCTGTAGACTTAAATGTTCAAACGTGTCTGTGAATATTAAACTGCAAAAAAGGAAAATGCTATTTAAATATGAAGTCTGCATGTTCTTCATGTCTTTGTTTGAATGAGGTGTACTTTGATTTACTTACTTCATACTCAAGTTCATGTGACACTCATGATGCTTTCAGTGTCATCTTACTAAATGAGGACACTCCAAATGAACTTCTCCACAGCCAGTGTTGGGGGTAATGCATTACAAGTAACGCGAGTTACGTAATCAGATTACTTTTTTCAAGTAACTAGTAAAGTAACACATTACTTTTTTAATTTACTTATTTAATTAAGAAAATATCTGAGTTACTTTTTCAAAAAAGT